CTGAACTTTTTTCCTGCCTGTTTGTGAAATTGAAATGAATACATAAAATGTAAATGATCTAATTTTTAATTAGCTTTAGGTTTAGATTTTTAGAAACACTTTTGTAAGAGAGCATTATTTAGACTTAGTTATTTTTCCACAAGTAGCAAGACTCTTTTTATTCCAACTATTCAGTATAACATGATTCTTCTGGAAGTATAATAGCAAAGCTGTATATGTTTCACTTTTTGGAGTGTATTTTTAGTCATAAGAAGTATTACTTATCCTTTGTGAGGAACTTTCAGTGAGCATGTATCCTGTTCATCAGCAAGAAACCTTTTATTTTTTAGTAAGTGTACTTCTGAAAAGAACCTGTCTTTCCCCATCCAGATGTCTGTCACTTACTTATCTTCCTTATTACTCCCCCTCAAAATTACTGAGCAGCAAGATTCTTTCTGCGTTCTCAAGCTAGTATGCTGCAACACTATATACTAGTGACTTTATTAAACAGAGAAAACCAAGAGATGAGTGAAGCTGATTTGCTGAAAATGTCTAATTTGTGCCTGCAATTATATTGAAACAGAGTAAGTGCACAGGAAATAGGCAAACAAAGGACAGAAGAGGCTCTAGTCCAAAATGATGCCCCGCATAGTTTCATTCTGCCTCTGCTTCAATGTGGTGGAAAAAGAACAATCTTGCCAAGGCAGTTCTCTTGCAAGATAGTTCGTACTGGGCCCCATAGTTTGCATATGTTTATATTGCCGTACCTTTCTGTTTGAGGGCAAAACTTCACTTGCATAGAATAACCAGGAAAAATTTAGTCCTACAAATTTAGTTGACAACTAGACTGGGGGTTGAAGAAGTCCTTTGGTAACTTGCTGTATTTAAAATACTAAATAAAAAATGAAGGTACTCTTGGCAGAAGATAGGTCTTTACCACTAATTTTGTGGACAACTTGATTAATGCTATTTTGTTTTTATCACATCTATACTAAAGTATGTACAGTGCTTTCCTTACAGGTACATAAAACTCTTAATTATAAAAATGTAATATTTCTTACTTTATAGTGGTGGAGAATGTATATAAAAACCGTGAGCCTGTCCCACACATGAAAGCAATATATCTCATAACTCCCACAAAAAAGGTCAGTATTTTAAAGAATGTGTGGCAAGGTCTCTTAGACTGAAAAAATCAATCACATTTAAAAATATTTATTTACTGTGTACAACTATGCAGTACTTAACTTTTGCATTTTGTGTGATATGATGCTTAATTTTCTGTAATGAAAAGACAATGCAGTGTCACCACAGAGTATGTTGCAAATGTGTACCTTTTGATCAATGGAGGTACTGTGTCATTGCTTACATATTAGTAACCTCACTGAAAGAGATGTTGTATCAAATAACGATGCAATACACTGAACAATAGAATTCAAAGTAATGGCTCTAATAAGAGATTACTGTTGCTTCCTTACAATTCTTGAGAGAACAAATCTCAGCACTGTTATAGATGGAAAATGATGCAAGTGTCCTGCTTTATATGCTTCCTAAAGTGATCTTGGTGCATGACTGGCCTTCTGTAATTGTTTATTATCCTTGATCTGGAATTAAAAGTCTTCTACTTAAGTGTTTTCTTTTCTTATATGTTGATTTGCAGTATTTCTAAGCAGGACTAGGTAACTAACAGAGCAGGAGGAGAGAAGGGAGAAGCTTTTCTGGTATGTGAGCAAAGGCAAAACACTAATAATTTTTTTCTTATTTTTCCTACTCCCATAAGTCTGTAGATGGACTTATTGATGACTTCATCACTAAATCATCCAGCAGATACAAAGCAGCATATGTGTATTTCACTGACTGTAAGTACGCTTTTGTGTTGTAGTTTGATAACTATATAGGTAAATAAGTAAGCTTCTCAACTTTCTTTCCTGTAGTTTAGTACATGAAAATTTTGGGTCCTGTTTCCTGAGAGGAGATTTGAGACTCAATTCATTAACTGTATTTGGGTTGCCAGGATGTGGTCACCATGCCATGTGGCAATAGTTATTTCATTAACAGTTACCAAACAAAGTTGATCGTTCCACACCTCAGTTTTTAATTTAGGTACTCTACTTTTATTTTTAAAGTATTCCAGTCTTCTCCTGTATTGGAGAGTGTGGAGGAAGACAATTCAAGTAAAACTATGTATCTCATATAAACAAAATAGTACTCCAAAATACAAAAGCATGGGAATTTGCTGCAAGAACAATGTTTTGTAATTGGTCATTTTAGGTAGTTCCTTCAGACTTGTGAGCCAACTTTTTCCCATCACCTGAAAGAAGGTGCCTACTTAGCCCTTACATGCACAATATAAATTGCAAAGCAGAAAAAATTAGTGCAAATGGGGTTAATGTCACTGCATGTTCCTCTGCAGTCAGTCAGTGTGACTAAAATGGTGTGTGAAGAAGGGAAAACAAAACCCAAATGTGCTGCTGAAGGCAGAGACTGAGTTGTGTCTGTAGATAGTGCCTATCTGCTACCATATGTTCTCAAAGCATTTATCAAATTACTATTAAAACCTCGTGGTTTCTTGTTTCATTTTATGCTGATACAGCAATTCTTGTTCTGGAAAAGTACTGCTATCATGCTGTATGTTCCTTTGTTGCAAGTGTGCAAGCTTTCAGTTTGAATACTTGCAAAAACTTTTCATGTTGAGAGGAGTTAAAGAAATAGCTCTATCAATTCCAACTCTGTGTAATATTCTTGTCATCCAAATATTCCTTAAATTCCGGTTTCTAGACTGGGATCCAGTGTAGTCTGTAAATGTAGTGAGACACATTTGAGAACTATAATTAAATTCCATATTTCTCTGCTCTACTGCTTGATATGTACATGTTATTTCTCCCTTTAACCTTTTGTGTAGATTGGGAAATGTTTTCTCTCTCCTATATGAGAAGAAATAGCAGAAACTTTTGCTTTGATAAAATCAATATCCTTCACTGCTGCAGACTGCTAATGAGTGTTCTACAACTTTGCTTGCCAAAAGCTAGTAAAAAATGACCGGTGGTGCTTCCTGAACAAGATCTCAAACACAAAATCTTGATTATACATTCTCTTTCACTTTAGGAAGATTTGGTGCCTTTTTGGTGTGTTAATTGGTTGTTAATTTAGAATTGTCTGTTCTGAACACTGTAAGCTTTTAAGTGAGTTAATGGCTGGAATACACATGAATGATTTATACTTATGAGTCTGTTTTTTTGTTTTTTTTCCTAGTTTGTCCTGACAACCTCTTCAATAAAATTAAGTCTTCCTGTGCAAAATCAATAAGGAGATGCAAGGAGATCAACATTTCCTTCTTCCCATATGAGTCTCAGGTAAATTTCATTATTTATGTCAACAGCAGAAAATAGTCTGGAGGACTCTTTTTAAGTGTTGTTGACCTGCTAGAAAATGATTAAATAGAATGTAGCTTTTTTTTACTGACAAACTGTATGTGGGACCTGTGCCATTTTGGCATATTTCCAGTGCTTGCCTATATTTTTCAGAGGAAAACAAATGCTCTTGTCCTGAAAGGTTTACTGTTTGCACTTGACCTCTTAACAAGACTTGGAGTCAGTTGCAATAGAGAGGTTAGAGAAGGAATGTATTCCTTAAGAGAAGGAAAGTGTTCTGGCTTGTCTTTAGTAAGCAGTAAAGTTTGTTACTGCTTATACTGAGGTGTTATTTTGACAGACTAGGTAGGTTGGTGCATAGGAATAGGAATAAGTAGAACAAACTGCTTGGTGAAAGTTGGAAAAGGAGAGCGAATAGATAAAGAGAGCTGAAGGGGAGGGGAACAAAACCAAAGCCTTACAAAAGAGAAACAAACTGTAACAACTTGGCAAACTTTCTTTTGAGAGGAAGACATGGAAATCCAAGTTTTCTCAATTAAAAAATTTGAGACCAGCAGTAGAAATCAATGAGTGGTTTCCATGTGAAACCACAGTGAGTATTGTGTCGAGAAATAATTTGTTGCTCATGTACTACATCAGATACAAAAGGCTGAAATGCACTCTGATATTCCCTAATATCGCAAAGCCCCCATACCGTGCCCACTATTGGGAGTTGTAGAACTAACTGTGAATGTTTCCCACAAGCCTTTCCTGTATTCTTCAAACCTTATGAAGTTATCGAGGGTCAGAACTCTTGTATACCAAGTAGCAGGTGAATATAGGAGAGGTTGCTGCTATCCAGGTATTATTGTGGTGCAGCTTCCTAGTTTGAAGACACGCTACTTTAAATAATAAAAAAAACTTTTTATAATAGACTGAGAAGCCATCAGAGAATAGTTAGTGTGGTGGTTGGTTTGTTTGTTTTCCAGTGGTGTTGATGTTCCCAAGCTTTGTTTTGAACTGTTTTTGGGAGTTCTGCTAAAGCTGCCCTTAAGAAAAAGTTTTGTAGCTTCCTTCTACTGAATAAGGCATACGAAAATTTTGTTGTCCCGGTTCTCTGGAGGACTTTACTATGAAAGTAGAAATTGAGACTGCTTTTCTAAAGATAAAAATAAGCAGCACTTAGTCTCTTCTTGTTTCTAGTTTAGTTTTGTGTTCTCAGTATTTTGGGTTGTGAGAGTGTTTTGAATCCTTCGCAAAGGAACAGAGAAAGTTAACTGGTTTTCCTAATTTAAAATCCCTCTGCCTGTTTTCTGGAGTGATAAGAGTAAATAATCAGACTGAGCTCTGTGCAAAGTCCAAATGATTATTCAAATGAAACAAATGTCTTTATCTGGATGGACATTCTTCTTTGGCTTTGTAGTCACAGAGTCCATTTGAAGCTAGAGAAAATCCATTTACTGATGATGGGATTGTTTATGTTTACATTCCATTTACTAAACTGTTGAAAAAGTTTTTCTTCTGTGTAGTACTAAATATCTTTTATCAAGGTTTAATGCATTTAAAGAATTTCAGTTCTTGGAGGTAAAGTCTTCATGTAATAAAAAGATACAATATGTAAAATTCTATTTTAAACAAATTTAACTTGATACCTTCTGTGATCATTCTGATATTGCATTGTGTGACTCTGTACAAGACGCTGGATGGTATTTAGTGCTGTCTGTCCTGGGTCCCTCCATCTCTACAGACAGTAAGCAATTTACTACAAAGTATAGTAATTTACGTAGGGGAGTGTGAGAGGAAAAGAGTGTGAGAACAAGAAGCAGATGAGCTCAACAGGACAGAGAAAGAGGATTGAAGTGTGAGGGTTTTTTTTTGAAGTATATTATATGTGACTTTTTATTACATATGTGGTTTTAAAGTATTAACAATTCTTTTGCCAGATATTTCAGAAATATACAATTTAAGCCTTTTTTTTTTTCTTGGTTGTGCTTTACATAGGTATTTACTCTCAATGTCCCAGATGCATTCTACCGCTGTTATAGTCCAGTTCTGGAAAAGACAAAGGATAAAGATGCTGTAATGCAAGTAATGGCTGAACAAATTGTTACCTTATGTGCCACGCTAGATGAGAATCCAGGAGTACGATATAAAAGGTGGGGCGAAAGTAGTGTTGTATGGTGTAGTTTCTTTCATTTGTAGGACCTCCCATATTGTTTGGTAATAGCTTGAGACTACAGTGTAGTTTCTTTTTGTAATGGATTAATTGTTTTTAATCCACAACTCTGAAATATGGAATGATAGGAATTTGTGAAGTGGAGGTAGAGCAGCGAGTTACTTCTCTGTGTGTATTCATGTAACGGTACTTACTATACCCTGTTTTGCTATGAACTGCTTGTTTTGTGTTTGGTCAGTAGGATGGCACTCAAATATGCTGCATTCTAATATACTGCATACATAATCCTGTAACAGAACTGCTGCTGTTGGTAGTTCTGCAGCTCCGCTTGGCGTCGAAGAATTAATAAATTGCTGAGGCAGATGGGATCAGGATTTCTTTGTAGTAGAGATATTGAGGAGAATGCCTCTTTTGAGCTTTGGTATAGAGTAATATCTTTGAAGTCAAAGTAGGCATCTGAAATTATGCTCAAGAATTGCATTCTGTGGTGTAACATGAAGTGGTGCCTTATTTTCTGCAAAGGTAACAAAGAAATAATTGCTTGACTGTTTTTCCTTTTCTCTTTCTCTTTTTCGTTTTTCTTGTTTCCCACCTCTGAGTGAGACTTTTAGGTGCTGGACCGTATGCCAGCTAATATCAGTCTTTTGGCTGAAGCTGTTTCTACTGTGTGAAATACCTGAAGCATTCAAAGAGTGGAATCATAATGTAAGAGTGAAAATATATTGGAAATACTTAGAATGGAGTTCAGAAACTGCTTGTGAAACCAGAGGATCAATCTAGGGAGTTCTTTCTGTTTTAAAGGTAGCATTTTAGTGTTTTGATGAGGAAATTTAAGTTATTTTTGCATGCTTCCTTTTTTCCCAGTGGACCATCTGATAGAGCCAGCAAACTTGCACAGCTTGTTGAAAAAAATCTTGAAAACTACTACAAAACTGATGAGAAAAGCCAAATAAAGGTAGAAAGTGAACTAAAATGTTTGCCTTTTTTGTAAGTCTGGGAAAAAAAATAATCTATGTTTCTATTTATGTTGATCAACACTTGGACCATGCTTTTTAGTTTTTTTCAGTTATTTTTTCCAAAAATGTCAGCAGTGCTGTAACTTAATACATGTTAAATCTATTTACAGTAACTTAGTACTGTATGTCTTAACTTTACATTTATTTGATGGCTTTCTAGGCTAAAACCCACTCCCAACTAATAATAATCGATCGTGGCTTTGACCCGGTATCAACTGTACTTCATGAACTCACCTTCCAGGCAATGGCATATGATCTGCTACCAATTGAAAATGATACTTACAAGCAAGTACTTTTTTAAAAAATCTGAACACTTCATTCTTCATTATAAAATCTATAAAATTGTTTAGTTGAATTGCACCGTAGCAATGCTAGCTGCTTATATTACATAAGGGTTACTTCAATTATTGTATTTCCTCTTGGATTTCTAACTTCCTCAGTTAGATGAGATGAGGTAGGACCTAACTGGCATTTTTGCTAAGTTTTGAGTCTAACAAACTGCATTTAAAAAAAAAAAAATTACTTTGTACTAGACTTGAAGCAAAACCTTGGTAGTGCATGTTCGGATTCTCTAACTTTTCTTTCATATTCTCAACCTTCTTGACCTAACAAGGCAAACAAGAACAGTAATCGAATACTGAGAAAAAGCTTAGTTATTTCTCAGATACACTCACTTTTCTCACTCCAGTCATTTAATCTGTGTAGTTGTTAAAATTTACATGTTTCTATCCTAAATGCACATTTAGGTAAGCCATGTTCAGTTTATAAGCATTATTTTATCACTATTTGTAATAGTGTGACATTATTTTACATAAGGTATGTACTTTACTGTCGGATTGTTTTGACATCAAAGGTTTTGGTAAGACTTTGTTTTCTGATGACCCACTACAGCAAGTGAGACCTAATTGCCTCGTTATTTAGTTAAGCAAACAGAAATGTGTATCTTCTGTCAGAAACACTGAGTGACTCTTTTCATAGAAAACGTAGAATTCTGTGAATCTGAAATTTACTGGGTATGAAAATGTAGCAGAGTGTTTTCTAGGTAGTCATGATCTGACTTTCACTATTGATCTTGTCTTTTTTTATATTTTTCTGCTTTCTGGCCATATGCACTGTGTGAGTTTCTGTAAATGTGAAAATGTTATGTAGTGTGATTGCTGTCTTGCTTTATAGGTTTATTTCTGTTTGTAGAAAAGTAATAGCTGGTCTGTAGTGCTATGAAGCATGTTTCTTGTATATGTGAAGTAATTTGTTCTACTTAGTCTATTTTCATGGAATGGTTTGGTTGGAAGGGACCTTAAAGATCACCTAGTTACCACCCCCCTGCCGTGGGCAGGGACACCAGACCAGGTTGCTCAAGGCCCCATCCAACCTGGCCTTCAGCACTTCCAGGGATGGGACAGCCACAGCTTCTCTGGGCAACCTGTTCCAGTGCCTCACCACCCTCACCGGGAAGAAATTCTTCCTAATATCTAATCTAAGTCTTCCCTCTTCCAGTTCAAAGCCATTGCCCCTTGTCCTATTGCTACCTGCCCTTGTAAAAAGTCCCTCCCCAGCTTTCTGGAAGGCTGCTCTAAGGTCTCCCCAGAGCCTTCTCTTCTCCAGGATGAACAACCCCAACTCTCTCAGCCTGTCCTCATAGGAGAGGTGCTCCAGCCCTCGAATCATCTTTGGGGCCTCCTCTGGACTCGCTCCAACAGGTCCATGTCCCTCTCGTGTTGGGGACCCCAGAGCTGAAGGCAGTACTGTGGGGGGCGTCTCATGAGAGCAGAGTAGAAGAGGAGAGTCATGACCTGCTTTTGATGCAGCCCAGCAGTCACATGATATGGTCGGCCTTCTGGGCTGCGAGCGCACATTGCCAGGTCATGTTGAGCTTGTTGGTGAATAGTACTTCATTTTCCTTCAGTTACAAAATGCCTTATAGTAGATATAGAAAGCTGCACTTTGCAATCTCAGTGTGTATTACTTTGCACACAATTTGCATTTGAAGCTAAAGGGAAGTTGACATTGGAAGCTGAAGAGAATTTGAGGTGCATGTAAACGTATGATTGAATCTCTAGTTACTGTTGGTTTAAAAGAAAGTCCAGAAGCTCTTGCCCCAAAGAATCATTCTAAAATAAATCTGCTGCTTTTATGTTCAAAGATGTAATCTGTAAAATCCTTTTGTAAATTATATTGTGTTGGGAAATGGCTTGATTTATAAGTTAAAACCTGGATACGTTACTGCTATTACCATGTGTGTTGATTAAACTGTAACAGTTAATACTGTAATGAGTTATGAGAATGAGGGGAGGAGGGGGGAACCTAAGTCAAACAACTGTCTGAATTTTCTCTTGGAAGATACAAAACAGAAGGACCTGCTGGGAAGGAACGGGAGGCAATTCTGGAGGAAGATGATGAGCTCTGGGTGAAGATTCGGCACAAGCATATTGCGGATGTGATAGAGTATGTGAATAAATAACAAAAACTAGTTTAAAATGCAGGTTATAAAAGTTTCTTTGAGTGGGAATGTATTTGAGCTGTTAAGCAGGAATACAGGCAGTAGTGAAGATGGTTTGCAATATGTACTTCATCCTGGTAAATGATTGATGCCAGGAAGAAAACATACTTTCAAAAATACAGTATGTACAGAGGTATGCAGTTTTACTAATATTAATTACGGTTTTTTTAGGATAATGGGAATAAAATTATTTCCTGGGAAGTATCTTCAAATATTTTAAATCTGAAGGGATTATTTTGCATAAAAGTACTAGCAAGTTACTGCATCAGATGACATTATGTAGATACCATAAACAGAATGTTTAACTTCAGTTTCCTTTGTCAAAAAAAACCCAAACAAACCTCTCTTCTCTGAAGGAGCACTGTGTTAGAAGCTTTTACTTCCATTCAGAAGTTCTTTTGCACAGTTCTTTTAAGATTTTAAGTAAGGATCTTAAGATTTAAGAATTGAGGTGCTGTTGTGTTTGATTACTTTGCTTTGTTTTTTTTTCCAGGGAAATACCAAAACTTTTGAAAGAAGTTTCATCGAAAAGAAAAGCAACAGAAGGAAAAGTAAGTTGTTTAAATTAAAGTGTTGTTTTTCGTGGTAATTTAATTATTTTCAGCTGATTAGATCTATGTAATTCATGGACCTATTGCAGAAATTGAGGCTTATCTCAATGGCAGTTTTCGGAGTGGCGGGGAGCAAGGCTGCAACAGGAAGGGAAATAAAGATGTCAAATATTGGGGGAGAAAATTTTCAACTCATACCATTTCTTCACAGTTATCGATATCTGCTCTGGCCCAGTTAATGAAAAAGATGCCGCACTATCGTAAAGAGATTAGCAGGGTAAGGGGTCTTTTGTAACTACAACTTCACAATAAATAATTTTATACACTATAATTTTCTGTGTTGTTGAAGTCTAGTTTTGTTCTGTCATTTTCTTGTTAAGTGTGCTATATAACTTTTTTCCAAATTAATATGTTCACCTGCTGTAAAATTTTGAGAACTTGTTTCCAGATGTTTCATTTTTAGTATGTAAAAAAACCACTTAAATGATTTGTGTGCTTTGAGGATTGAAGATAGCTTAGCATTTTAATGTTTTAAAAGATGTTATGTAGGTCAGCCTGTAAGTGAAGGGTAAAACACGAAAAATGCATGATGGTACTGAAGGATAGTTGAAGGATTGACTCTTGTAACCAGTAAAAATGATTGCTTGATGTGTTTAAAAAAAAAAAAAAGCAAGCTATAATAGCTTGTGGTTTTGTGTGTGTTGTTTGTTTTTTTTTTTGTCTTCTAGCAAGTTGTTCATCTTAACTTAGCAGAAGATTGCATGAGCAAGTTCAAATCTAACGTAGAAAGGCTCTGTAAAACTGAACAGGTATGTTTAAAAAAACCCCACAAACCAGACAGTAACTTACTGCAAATGTGTCCTTTTTGTTTGTGGGAGTAGATGCTTCTTTTCACCTGACAGAAGTAGTGTGTCTCTTGCCTATTTTTTTGAGATCACTTTTGGAGGTAGTAGTATTAAAGCTAAGTGAGATATACAAAGCTTTTACTCTGCTGATAAAGGAGGTGCTTTTAGAATTTTAGGTTTTTTGTCTTTGAATCTGGCTGATTGGAACAAAGAAAACAAAGATGATTCTTATACAAAACTCCTGTGAAGTTGCCTTACTATGTTATGCAGAAGGAACCTCTTTTAAAATGCCTGCAAAAAGCACCTGCTACTACAATGTACACCTCGCCCTACTAATGTCAAGTTAAAAAACTGTATTTACATGAATGATAGATCTCAAACAGTTTTAAATGTTTGAGTGTTATGTAGTGTTATTATAATGCTGTAACTATTGAAATAATTATGTCAAAGACGCTTCATACTGAGTTTAAATTGATGCAGCTTGATTGTTTCCTGAAACTATGGTTTCAAAAGAATACATTTCAAAACACACAAAATAGTGTGTGTGCTTGCTTTTTTTTTAAAGACTACTCACTAAACCTACTTTTTTATTTATTTATTTTTTTATATAGGACTTGGCTCTTGGAACTGATGCAGAAGGTCAAAAAGTGAAAGACTTGATGAGAGTCCTCCTTCCAGTTCTGCTCAACAAAAGCCATGAGAGCTATGACAAAATTAGAGCTATTCTCCTGTATATCTTTAGCACAAATGGTATGATAAGCTGCCCTATTTTATTTTATTTTATTTTTTTCCTCAATGCTATGGACTGCAGCTCAAGTTTTGGGGTAGTCCAGTATTTTTAGTTAACTTAAGCATCTGTATTGGAGTTGATGGCCAAGTTTGAAAGAAATACTGTCCATTCTCTGTAGCTTTGCTTCTCTCAAATTAGTAGCAAAGATACTATTGATAAGGAGTTAAGAGATTCAATATAAGTGCAAATCCATACAGTGTTTTGGCATCATTCCTGTACCTGGATGTGTGCAATAGTTCAAATTTTCTCCTTTTCACATAGTATTGAAGCTGTTAAAGGGGGACCTCCGTGTCCACTGCAACCTGAAAATTAAGTCAGTGGGGAAGAATTTGTAGTAGAGCAGGAGGAAATTCGCAGAATGTTGTCTGAGGAATCTATAACAATATTGAGCTTTGGTCTCAAAAATGGACCATTAAACAAAAATTTATCTAAAATATAGCATCATCTTAAACTCAGAGTAGGCTAGCCAAACAAACAGAAATCCTGGACTAAATAACAACCCCGAATGTGTGAGACAAAATTGGTTTTACTCACAGTCACATGGTAATTAAGTTGTATGTTTTCCTTATATTGAAGGAACTACCCAGGAGAACTTGGACAAGCTGATCCAGAATGTACAAATAGAAAGTGATAGTGATATGATAAGAAATTGGAAGTACCTTGACGTTCCTGTTATCTCTTCAGTAAGAATGTATTTATTTATTTTGTAATTTCCTACTACACAAGCACTTACATACAGCTCTTTCAGCAACTCTTAGCAGTATTATCTAGGTCTTTTTTTTGGAAGCAGGCAATTACTAGGAATTCTTGTTTGTATGATGTGTTTAAGTGGTAAATCCTTTAAACAATTAACATGAATAATTTTCAAAGATACCTATAATATTCCCTTTAAAATCATCAGATGGTGACTTGAGCTGGTTGGTTTTGGGAAGTGCTAACTTACTTGATTCCTTGTCTCTGAAATTGGTATTTCTAGCATATCCTGAATTCTACAGGTATTAATTGTTGTTCTTTGTTATTATTTCTTTAAAATTTCCTACTGATCTTCCCTTCTCCCACTACTAACTAGGAATAAGTTTCAAAAATTCAAATACACTGTATAATACAACCATGTTTCAAAAATCTTTTCAGTCTGCTACTCAGCAGCATAAACACCCAAGAAGGGACCGTTCTTCAGAAGAAACTTTTCAACTTTCTAGGTGGACGCCTATTATCAAAGATGTTATGGAGGTAAATTTGACCAACTAGTTAATTCGTGGGTGCAGTGTGGAAATTTAGTGAAGTGAGCAGTTACAGCCAATCTTTTGAAATTCCATAATATCTTGAGGTACTTTTGTTAAACATGTCTGTTGAGGAAAGTGATCGCTTCTAGTCTGTCTCTAATACAGAACATTAGACTGCTGTGTATTAGCAGTGCTCGACATTGGAGGCTATTTTAAAAGTGGTGAAAGTGAAAGCAAAAGGTCTTTTTGAACAGCCTGTCCTGTGATTGGCAATGTTTAGTGTACTTTAAAGGTCTGCATTATTTGTTTCTTTTTCCTCCAGTGGATCTTTAAACGGCAATTCAAATCTAAACTGTAGATTGGTAGAGGCTTGAAAAAGCTACTTGCCGGAAGTATAGCTGCTTTTTTTTCTAAAACCTATTCCTAAGCATTAGTTAGTGACTGATGTCAGACAGAATAGTGAGTTCAGTGGACCTTTAGTCTGGCCCAGTGCTGTCATTCATAGATTCTTGGCAACTTTCACACTTTCACTTGTGTCTTCAGGGGACCCTAAATTCTTTCATGTTGCTGTAGAGAAATTAAATGTTAGGGTCGTTACAGATGAAAAACTGCTAGTGAAATCTGAACAGTTAAATCAATATTATGTTTATAAAGAAAGCATATGTACTCCCAGTTCCTTGTGATACACAAAAGCCTTGTAATAACTTTTAGCATTATGTGGTCTAGCATTTTGTTACATAGTAGTGTTGTTAATGAGATGCTTGTGATTGGTTGTTCTAAGAAATTGCATATGCTGGCACTAAATTCCAGTTAGACATCCTTACTGGAAGTTGAAACTTGGTGGGTTTTAGATCTCATGACTGTTTAAAGTGAGTCTTTGCTTTGCCTTTCAGGATGCTATAGAAAACAAACTAGATTCAAAAGACTGGCCTTATTGTTCCCAGTGTCCTCCTACCTGGAACGGTTCAGGAGCAGTAAGGTAAATTGTTTAATTTCCTGAAACATAATTTACCCATTTCTCAGTATTTTTGTCATGTACCTTCTAAAGCATTATAAAAGTGCGCATACTAAGCAGTGAAATAATGTATATAAGGTAATGTTAATCTGTAAAACCTGTGTTTTTATTTCATCTAAAACATACTGAACTTGGTGGTTAACTTAATAACTCTTCTTAGCCGTATATAGCTTTTTATTTGTAGTATCTCCCTTTTGCTTCAAAGTTAGAAATAACATTTCCGTATTCCCAGAATGAGAAATTCAAACCTTTAAGCTTTTTAGGGTGAAGTAGTTTCAGGAATGGATTATCAGTATACTGTGACTTAGGCAAAAAGAATGTTTTATATTTCTTTGCAAAGTTATTTCTGCTGTGGTAGTGGTGGTGTCATTCTTGAAGTTGATGACTTCAGTAAGTTAAATTCAGCTCCTGTAGGCGCTCTCATGAGGGAATATGGGCCTTAGACATTTGACCCCTGTTGTCAGGGGATGATTTAGAGAAGTCCAGAAAAGTTGGAGATCTTGAAATGAATTCTTTGCTAATGAATGTGAAATGGTGTGTTCTGTGTACTTGCAAATTTACTGAGTAGCACTGAGAGGTGATTTTGGAAATTTTTTTTTTTTAGTTCACTAACTTGTACTGTCCCTTCTTTCCCTTCTTAATCCCACTAGCTCTTGAACCTCATGACCAATGCCTGCCAATTTGACAGCTTTATCATTTTTGGTAGTGTTACTTAAATGGTGAGACAGCTGAATAAAGATAAGAGTGTTTCTGTTGCAGGAATGTTCTTTGTGCTAATCAGATGCTGGAATTCATAGGGAAGAAAACATTATATATATCCTAAATGCAGAGGACATGCTTGAATTGGAATTTGTACCTTACTAAATAAAAGACAAAAGGTACAGATACACAGCCTTAGGAAAATGGTTTTGTTACTTCCACTGCTAACCAAACTGTGTGTCTATGTGTTCCTGGATATGCACTATGATCATCATAGGATGATCAAGGAAACACTAGGGCAAGTTCATGTATGTTGTAACTGGATCTCTGTCCTACGGGGTGGTGAAATGTGGGAATCTTTAAGGCACCCTAGCAAAGAGAGATCAGGACTGCAGATGATTTAATCTGAATCTGCAATTACTATAGGTGTGTTAGAATGTATATTCTAAGAGCTTTATTTTTTTGTTTGTTCCTAGCTATCTGAATCTTGTTTGATAACAGCCAAATATTTTTGTTAAAGATTCTGTTCAGATTTGGAGACTGAAAAACCTGATACTAGCTTTTTCAAATGAACCTCTCATGAAAAATGCTACTGGAATTGCTGGCATGCAGAATTAAGCTGCACGGTAGAGGTCATTTGTGTGAGCTGTGTGTGCAACAAGGTTTTTCCTTTGTATTTATTTTCCCCCTTGTGATAACCGAATAGTTTTCGAGTAATGTGCTACCTTGTTTTTGTTAAAATTCCTTTAATTATCAATTTGTCTAAATTCTTTTGCTGAAATTATAATTAAACCATGAACTGCATGACAGAAATTGTTACTGCTTGTTAAGTGTATAAATTTTATCCAAATTAATCAGTAAAGCTATATAAATGTCATCTTATGAATTCTTTTACAGTGCGCGCCAGAAACCTAAAGCTAGTTATCAAGATGAGCGAAAAAGTAGTGCAAGACTGATTATATTTGTGATTGGAGGAATTACATATTCTGAGATGCGCAGTGCTTATGAAGTTTGTCAAGGCTACAAGTCCTGTGAAGTTGTTATTGGTAAGCTTGTCTTGGGAAAAGGGTGGTATGTAGGCATTTACTGCATGTGTTTCTGGAAAATGTAAGGATCTTTTTTCTTACATTCCCTGAGTTGGTTTGGTAAACTAATACTACAGCCAGTGTATTTCTTAAAACTATGCACTTAGAAGTATCTTTTCAGTTAATCTAGATTGCTTGATGTTTGGGGTTGTTTTGCAACAAGATATTAAGGGCAATAAGTACAGTTAAGCTCTACAGAAGAATCATCATGAATTATGTCAGTGAAATATATTGTTAAAGTAGCCTGATGTATAGCAAAAGGATTTAAACAGACCTATATTTCCTTGCATAACAGTTTCCACAGACTTTTGTATCTGCCTGTGCTTTAACTTCAGCTACAGTTATTACCCTCACTCCTTTTGGAAGTAGTAGTAAAACTGGTGGAGTAGTGCAAAATTACTTTGCTTTGAGAGGAAGGGAAGATAAGTAGTGTTTTAAAACATGCCCCCCACCCACCCCCCCAAAAAAATGAAGAGAAGAAACCAACCCAAAAAACCTTTTTCAGTGTAGCTCAGTTGACTTTGCAACATCTTCTAGTTCTTGTCATAGTTTCTTCAGAGACTTTACACAAACCGCACCATGATCTATAGCTTTTGCCCTGAAAACTGAAGTAATCTCCCTAATCTTCTTAAGATTCAGCAGTAAGTGCATGAATTACCACCTGAGGTAGTAATCTCTCAGTTAATACTTCAGAAGCAGCAAATGCTTGTTCCATCAGCTGCTGTGCTTCAAATAATCATTTCCCATAATGCTGTTTAAATTTAGGTGCTAAAACATTTACATATATGATGTATCAAAATGGAGCTCCTAGGTACAGAACCTTACCAGAGACTTGTATCCAGTAAGTGCATGAATTACCACCTGAGGTAGTAATCTCTCAGTTAATACTTCAGAAGCAGCAAATGCTTGTTCCATCAGCTGCTGTGCTTCAAATAATCATTTCCCATAATGCAGTTTAAATTTAGGTGCTAAAACATTTACATATATGATGTATCAAAATGGAGCTCCTAGGTACAGAACCTTACCAGAGACTTGTATCCATCTGTAGTGGCAGCAGGTGTCTGGGTGCAGGGTCAACTAAAGTGTTCTAAATTGCTTGAGATGCCTGTGTCTGGCAATTAAATTCAGTCTTGAGTTTCAAAAAGGATTAAATCTACCATAATTTTAAAAATTAAATACTCTTCCCTAAAGCAATGACAACCTTGATTCTGAGATCTGGAGTCTGTTACCTCAAAATAGTGGGGGGTGTTGTAGGTGTGTTTGTGTGTGTGTGTTGGTTTTCTGGTTTATTTTTTTTTGTTCGCTGGTTTCATCGGTGGTGGTTGAGGTAGGTGTAACGCTGGTCCTAGTTTTGAGTTGCAATGGAAAGACCAGAACAACAGGAATGTAGTCTAACAAGACTTCATCTGAGACTTATTTACAAAACCATGTTTAGCATAGGTCACTCTCATGGTAGTATCTGGCACTAACCACAGTGCTATCATCCCTTTTGTTTAGAGGTGATTCTTGGAGTTTTGTTTGTAATCCTGATTTCTGAGGGAGTGTGATAACTTCCAAATTTCCATGCGGCTTACTGCAAGACAAAAATCTTCCTGTATTCCTGATTCGAAATTCAAGGAATATTAGCCCATTCACATTGACACTACTAAAACAAAAGGTTCAAGACAGCCCTGATCTTAAACAGTTAAGACTTCCCTTTATAACTGTAGGGTGACCCTTCAAGGCAGAAGTTATAATCACTATGAGAACAAGAGAGGTAGTGCACTCCTGAAGAATAATAAGGATTTTCTTTGCTGTTCCAGACTTGGAATTTGCTGCAAATTTTTCAAGAAAATGTTAGTCAGTGAAAGCCAGTTTTCTGTAACTGACACTTCTGTGGAAAACTGCTGTTTGTGATAATCTTTAATCCAGGTGGTTTCTTGATTCTAGGATAAAGCCTGTTATGAACTCAGGTTTTCACAGAATGGGCAGATTTCTTGCAGGCTGGGATAATTGCATACAGTGAAAGTGTCCCGGGTTCAAGCCTAAGTTTCAAACTGGGCAGAGAAGGGACTTGACACTTGTATCCAAAGACAGACTCCTAATCTTGATGTCTCACTGTGTGGGAGAGGGACACTGCCTACTTAATGGTGACACATATTTATATGATGACACTTTATATTATAACTTATTAAAACACTTTGAATTGTTGTACTTCTCAGTTTTCTAGGTACAGTAAAAAACACTGGCATGTAAGTAATTTTTTTTTAAAGGGGGAATGCCTGAAAGTCAGGATTTCAGACTGATACAGTTGATACTTATGTTCTTTTGTCAGGTTCTACTCATATTTTGACACCTAAAAGACTACTGGATGAAGTCAAGAGCCTTAGTAAACCGAAGGATATGGTCTGCATTAAGGATGAATAGAAATGCTGATGTTTATAATGCATTAGGAAAAGACAAATAGTATGTATATATTATGGAATTTACTTTTCTAAATATGGTACCAGGACACTACATGGAATGCCATTTTATAATTTAAATTTGCTGCTTTTGCGGGAGTAGAAGGCAGAGAGAGGAAAAGATCAACACGTGTTTCTTAGGTTGTATTTAGTATAGACAGTGTTACACTGAAAGTGCTTTTTCAAAAGGGCATTTTTGTTCCTAACAAATTATACTAAAAGTTATTGTGATTATATATATGAACTGGAATTGTCTTTGAGAACTGTGAAACCTTTCTATAATAGAGTTTGTTTCTAAAAATGACTGAATTAAAAAGGGCCTAGATTCTTAGGTACTGAGGCTTCAGAAGAAAATTTGTAAATATGAGTTTATGGTAAAAATACTTTATGTAAGTGCAGTGTCTTAAACTGTAATATTTTCTGTAAAATAACTCACTGAAAATTCTTTAAATACATGTAATTGTGAAAAATCAAAAGGTTTTTTAGATGGTGGTGGCTAAGGTAGAAAGCTAATCATGGAAGTACTAAGTAGTTCTAATTCCAATAAATAACTTTGGAGAAATGCGGTCAACTGTGCACTGAAGTACACTTCATATTTAAGAATATACAGGGATTATTACTAAAGCTTTTAAAAAAACTTACTTCCTTATGGTTGTATCTACGTAGTCTCTCTGTTTTAGAAGTTGAATTGCCTGTGATATGCAATTTCCAGAATTTTAAGCATAAATTCTCTTTTTGAGGGAGTGGGAGCAGGGGAAAAGGAGAAGGAGGAAGCAGTTAAATCTTTCACATGGCTTGCTAATTTAAAAAAAAAAAGTAAAAGCAAACCAAACACCAAAACCTGATGCATTCAAGAGAATTTACCGTTTTCTTCTACTTTCTCACATATTAAGGAAGAGATACATAAATTCGTGTTGAAGGGGATCAAATAAATGCTGAATTGTATTCTGTAATCCTGGTAATATTTAGATTTGTCTTAGAATGTTACTTAATTAAAATTGCTAACCTTTTAAAGGGATGTTGTAGTGATGTGCCTTGAAATGTTGTATTGTATATAGAATCTGACAGAGGTGTCATAATGAAAAAGAATAGATTACTCATGGCTTTTTATTTACATTTTTTGTTTTGCATAAAGGTGGTTTTGTTTCTTTTCCCTTAATTTTGCCCTCAGGTTAACTAGTAGGTTAAGAGAACATTTTTGCTAGGTAAGTTCATTCAAAGTTAATTAGAAGGTGGAAAAAGGTTAAATTCAGCCTACATCAGAGGGGAATGAAATGGGAGAGCATTATGTATAACAATTCTAAAATGTGGCAGGACACGGGGCATGATGAGGATAAGTGGCTGTATCTTTCAAATGCTCCTACAGGAGTTAGGCATCTAATGTACGATGAGTTTATTTTCAATAGGAATACAGGAACAACACGTTTTAAAATTAACTGGTTCATCAAACACCATGTGCATCAAAACTTTAAAAAAATTTTTTTAGCAGAAATACCTGTCATGTTTTTCTGAATTCTAGTTTCTAACTATAAATACCACAGTAAGAATCCAGAGTAAACTTATGTATTTAAGAAATGCAGTGTTCAACATTTTCTTACTAAAGATGCACCTTTTGAAATCCATATTAAACAATTATGCTTAAATTATACATAGTCTTTTTTCTTTGGCAATAAGAACACAAGTTTGGTGTAAAAGCTATATATAGTTCAATTTTTTTTCCTATTCCCAAATCTTAAAAGCAATAAATACAGAACAAAATTACATCAAAGTGTCCTACTTCAAGACTGAAATAATTGATTTCACTAGTATATAAAATCCATTGTATTGATGTTTATTTGTTGCACAGAGTTGAAGAAATACCAGCTTGAAATGTTGGATTACTTTTGCATATTCAGCAGTTAGACTTTTTCCAAGTGTCTGCTCTGGGCTTAAGTACTATCGCCAGCTCAAAATTTGATAGCTGATAAATACAAAACTGAGACTTTTGAGTTTTGGAATCCACTACCCACTTTTTCCAGAAGGTGAAGCCAGACATTACTGTAAAGGTGTATTAACAGAGATGCTTTAAGAAAAGAAATCTGGCAGCAATATGTAGCCCAAAACAGCTCCTAGTTTCTTACAGGAGCTTATGAAGGAGGTGGAGGGTGGGAATTCTTGTAAAAGATGTTTCTTTTCTTCCCAAGGATCTTCTCAGCTACTTTTTTTTCTAGATCAAGAGTTGTTTTATCAAGATCAAGAATAGGAAAGACTTGTATCAAGATAAATGTCTCTCCACAAAACCTAATATTTTAGAGTGCTTGTGTAAGGTATATTATAATTTTGAAAGTTCCTGTTTTCATATTATACATCTTAAAATAGATACCTAGCCGGTACATGTGGGCCCAGATTCACATAAGCACAGATGTTGGTCCAATTACCCTAGATAATAAAGATACATATTTCCAAGAGCAATTTATTTCTTAAGTTGAATCTGGAAATCTAGACAAGACTCAGAGACAACTAAGAGGAAAGTCAAAAGTATGGAACAATTTCCATGTCAAGAATGGCTAGAATAGGATCTTTGATGAAGGGGAAAAAGGTGATGGAGGAGTCTGTGGTGGAAGCCTTGAAAAAAATCATGTTAGTGTGCAGACTTAAGACACAGACATGTTACCTTCCTATTCAGTGTGTGAAGTAACACATGAAACTTGCAGTTGTTAAATTCGAAACAAAAGGACCTTTAGCATCTGAGACTGTGCAGTCATGCTTTAAATTGTTATATGAAGGGAAAAAATCTCAACATACTTGAGACTAAAATCTTTGTATAGGGCTATTAAATATAAAGATATTATTGCTATTTGGAAGGACTCTGAGCTTTTTGTTTGTCAGAGAATGTTCTGAGGAAATGTCACTATGTGCTTGTCTTACTAAATGTTCTTTCTTAGGCATTTGCTGTCAGGCCCAGGACAGCAGGTTCAGATGGTGATCCAGAATAAACAAAAGGTCTAGCTGCTGTTGTGGTGTGGAAAGATTTCTATGGAAGAGGTTAACCTTTTTTTATTGGACCTAGGAAGCCTACAGCGATTACTTTAACTATTAAGCTCATTTGCAAAGCAGTAACAGGGACATTCCAAACATTAATCTAGCACAGAGGGGGGACACTTTCACTATCCTGTGCTGTTGTCTTAAGCTAAATAAAGCAAAAACATGGATAATAAGTAGAGGCAAGTCAAGTTACAAGGATATACAGTAAGAGCCTAAGGGAGAAAAGAAAGGTTGATTGTATTGCTGTCTGTGAAGAGTGGAAGAAGCCCTGAAAAAAAGCTGTTGGCTCAGACTAGTAAATCAATGGTACACAGCAGCAAGCTTAGCCATCACTGCTGGCATGAACAGAGTCTGGATTACCTCTGTATCCATCAACTGAGGAAACCACTCAGGTTTGCCTGAAAATGACTGTCCTTTGTAAGCAATGCACTGTCATGTCTAACGTGATTACCGTCCGTCCCCATATACTTTAGAACTGCTTCAGTGAACAGCATCGCTAATAATACAAGGCGGTTAACTGACTGCTTGCTTTTAATCACTGCAGTTAAATAGATTTTTTGGAAGGAAAATAATAGATAACTTTTCTTTTCCCACTGTATTTCTACGGTATTTTAAAATTTTTCCAGCCTACTTACATCAGCTAAAATTTCAAAGCCAGATACATCTGACAAGGACATGACACCACACTGAAGAAATGGACAATTTAATAGTTAGGAATACATAAACAACAAATAATATTACTCAGTTACTGGGACGTGCAAGGAAGTATCTTAAAAACAACTCTCAATGTAGGGCACTCTAAAAACAAAATAATTACAAATGTTAACTATGACTCATCTATAAGCATCATGCTAACATAGTCTCAGGTGCAGAGGCTGTTTCCCTTTTGTTGTGCCTAAGCAGCTGCTGTTAAGGTGTGGGAAGAAAATATATGTGGTAGTGACTGAGATTTATTCTTCTATTTGGAGGTGGGGGGAAATCAAAAGTTAACTTATTAACTTTGCTTGTTTAAGACAATTTTTATTAAGCTGTCTTAAGTGAATGCTTAGAGAAGGGAGTTAGCCAAGATACTAAAGACTTTCAGTAGAATTAGTAATTTGTTTTCCATTTCTGAGACTGAGTGTAAACATGTGGAACATCACTATGCTCTGGTTTGGTTTAGTACTGATAGTTACAGAACAGATGATAAAGTAAGCTAGCTGACTTTCTGATCTTTGTATTTATCATTTTAGATTTGCAGAGATACTGACACTTCAGTATCAGCCAGCAAAACAATATAGCATTTGAAACTGGGTAATTAAAGCTGTTTTCTTTTAACTTTAGCTAGATCTTCTGAAACTTCTCGTACCATTCGTTCTGTAGCTTTCTTCAAACTGTTTGCTGTCTGTATGGCATGATCCAGAGTAGAACTTAAAATCTGTTAGGAATAATAAAATATAGCCTTGTTAATACTGAAGGCAAATGTTTACATAGGTATAGAATAGAAAGTGATGTTTAGTTAATGTTCTGTGTAGCATTTTGACTCTGAATACATGTTGAGAAGTAAAAATTCTGAGTCATGTGATAGACTGCTCCAGGATTCAAGTTGGAAGTATCTGTTATTCATTTCTCTCTTTGATTGTGTAATCCTTTGAATTGAGGGATATTTACACCTTGCTAAAGTAGCAGGCCCAGTGTGGTGCATGTTTGTGGTACTGAGAAGGGTTTCTTTTGGGTTTGATAGTGGTTTGTATGGCTAGGGTGACATTCTTTGTTTCAGTTTATGAAACAATTCCAAAGGTAAGATCCAGTGCTCCTTTTCTGTCTCTTTGACCATTTATACAAGGACGAAGTTGCATAAAAGGTCTGTAACATGCTCATAGGAAGTAATATACTAATATTTAAGCTAAAATACTTGTTTTTTTAATTCCCTCTTTTCATTTTCTCAAATGGACTAGAGATGCTTAGATTCTAATAACTTGCTAAGAATGGGATGTTCAACAGTGCCATGATGTG